CATAGCATACCACCTGGCACATAGTAGGAGCTCCGTAAACATGAATCTTCACTTCATATTTTGTATTAATTGGACTTACCGAACCACTTAATTTCAGGAATGGCCCAATGATTCTGAAAAGACTTCAATTCAAACTGCACTTTTTTCTCACCAATGGAATCAGACCTCATGCGTTCATAAATTCTTATTTTTATATACTCTTTTTTGAAACATAGACAAAATATTTAAATATAAGCTTATATTGTGTTTATGTTGACCTTAGAAGAACAAAAGAGTCAGTTATTTTATCAGCAAAATGAGTTTTCCGCAATAACAGAGGAATTGCAATTCGGGACAAGCAAACTATGGTGAACCATAGGCAAGTCTGGAGAACAGGAGAGAGGACTTTGCATTTATTCATAGGGAAAAGAAGGAAGTTGTGAGGGACTCACGTGGCTTCTCCTTGGTTGAAGTTGGCAATTTCTCACTGGCTATGCTGTTGTTGGGCAAGGAGAAATTCTTCCTTCCTCCCGCTGGGGTATATAAAGTAAGCTCCCTGTTTGGGAATGCAAGGTATGCTTCCTAGGGCAAGTGGTAGTGTGAGAAGTCCCTTTTGGACTTCCTGACTCCATTTTAAATTATGTTTTCTCTTTTTTTTTTTTTAAGATTTTATTTATTTATTTGACAGAGATATAGCGAGAGAGGGAACACAAGCAGGAGGAGTGGGAGAGGGAGAAGCAGGCTTCCCGCTGAGCAGGGAGCCCGACGTGGGGCTCAATCCCAGGACCCCGGGACCATGACCTGAGCCGAAGGCAGATGCTTAATGACTGAGCCACCCAGACGCCCCCCGCCTTTTTTTTAAGATTTTATTTTTAAGTAATCTCTACACGCAATGTGGGGCTTGAACTCACAAGCCCGGGATCAAGAGCCGCATGCTCTGCTGACTGAGCCAGCTGGGTACCCCTTAAATGAAGTTTTCTTTCTTTATGTTCACATTTTTACAGGGATGAAAATCAAGACATACTACCACTAAAAACACAAGACTAATATGTAGTTAAATTTTAGTGTAAAGACTTGCATAGCTAATTAATGAAAGGACCCCATGGGGATGAGGATGTGTTGGGAGAAGAAGCACGGATTATGAATAATTTTAAATCTCTATTTTCAACATAAAAAGAGCTCATTGTTGCTTCTCATAAACCCAATGGGAATAGCAGTGATCTTTGCTCCTGCTGAACACTGAGATCCCTCCTGCTAAATCGGCGCAAACAGCTAGCTAAAGGAAACCTTCCTGGGAAGTCTGCTCACAGAACATTGCGGGGGAGCTTGCTAAGGTTTAACTCCGGCCCTGTCTGTGCACCGTCCCCGCTCTCACCTGGCTTCACCTAAGAGACACAGAAGGGACTTTATCAATTAGGGCCAAGTTCAGAGAGAAAGAGACAGACACACGTCTTGAGTGAAACAAAGACCACAGTGCTTTGATTTCACCAAAATGACACTCTATCTACCATGCTGCTCTTAGGCTGAAAGGCTACTGCACAGGGACCTGGGCGGGGGTGGGGGGGTTGGAGCGGGGAGGAGGATGCGGTCTCAGGAAAAACTGGTGTGGGCCTGACCTTTCAAGGCCGCAGCCGCTAGCGAGACTCAGAGAGGAAGAGGGCTGTTGTGATGGATTGTTCTGACTTCTGCACTGTCACTTTCATCGGTTCAGAAAGGTTCGAGAACCTATGCTGGGATTTAGCAGTAAATCAGGTTAACAAGGGAGCCCCCAAGGAAAACAACGTGTGGCGGAGAGATGTTTCTCCCCTGGGATTTCTCCATCTTTTCTCCTCTCACTTGCAGCATTTTGCGCCGTCTTTCTTGTTTCTCTCACGCACTAAGGGCGCAACAAAGGAATTCACACTAAGAGGTTGCGAATAATGTGTCCCCCCTCTCTGGGGAAAGGCAGGTCCTAGAAGTATGTGGCCAGCCGGGTAGCACAGGGCACCAGGGGAGCGGTGAGATTGGCAGCTGGAGAGTTCTGAAGGTCCTCTGAATCATTTGACCGCAGGACCCAACATTCCCCTCAGCCATCCGCTACAAGGCCAGTTCAGCGCTGGTGCAGGCCCGCCGCATGACCCCTGAGGAATAAAAACTGAACATGGAGCACTGCTCCCTTTGGCTCTGCTTTCATACCTTGTCCTCAGCTTCTCATTTCAAATGTATTTTATTTCTCCTCCCGGTTAGCCCCCAACACTCAACTCTCAAACAGCGTGAGCATTTTTCACACTCCAGTCCAGTAGGTAGATTCTAAACAAATAAGTGGAATCCAGTCTGCACTGCCCTGGAAACAAGATAGGAACGAAGTACTATCACCTCTAGTACCAAAACCCACTGGAGATGTCCTTTCATATACTATTCCAACGCATCCAACAGACTTCACATCGTGGTTGAATTATCAAGCCCAACCCCCAAAGTAGGGATGGTTGTTATAACTTTTATCTCTCAAAAATTATTTTTATTTATTTATTTATTTATTTATTTATTTATTTATTTGACAGAAAGGGAGAGAGCACAAGCGGGGGGCCGGGGGGAGGGGGCAGGCAGAGGGAGAGGGAGAAGCAGGCTCCCCGCTGAGCAAAGCCCGACGCGGGGCTCAATCCCAGGACCCCCAGATCATGACCCGAGCCGAAGGCAGATGCTTAACTGACTGAGCCACCCAGGCGCCCCTCAAAAATTATTTTATTACCATTAAATATTTGATAGTCTATAACAAATAATTGTGTACCTTCTCGACAGATAAAGACATTTTAACAACTTCCTTCTCTCCTAATCAAGGTCTAATTTAGGATTGTTCAATAAATCAATAATCGTATTATCTTTAAGTTGAATACCTTATTCATGGAGTCTCTGAGATTCTCACACTTTTCTCCATCTCTATATAGATAAATGTTGACACCAACTCATGAAAAATCAATCCCTTGTCTCTTGGGGGCCATCTCACTCTCAAGAAAATATCTGTTCTTGGTCCTTGAATTCTAGCACCTATCACTATACATAGCATGTAGTGAATGCTCAGTACATATTTACCAGGTGAATGACTGAACAATCGTACATTGGTGACAATAATGTCCACATGAAATCTTTCTGCTACAGTTATTAGTATTCTTTTTTCAAAAAGATCCTGAAAAAGCCTGTTGTTGAATGATGTGTGCCATCATTGAATGTCGACATTTCATTGCTCTTATTTTAGGTTTATGCTCCTTCTATGTCTCAATAATTAGTTCCCTGGCTTCATGGTCAGATGGAATTACCATAAAATTTTAGAGGTATACCTTCTACAAGCTTGTTTGGTGGAAGCAAGATGATTCTACTCTCCTCTATTTCCTCCTTGAAGCAGACTGTAAGGTTCAAGAGAGCAGGCATGGTCTCTAGTCTGCCACCTGGAACACAGTAGATGCTCAATAAAAACTTTGCAAATGGAATGATTAAATGCTTCCATTTACCCCTTTCTTAATGTCAGGGCAGGCTACAGAGTCACGTCCTATACATTCTGGGGGAAATGGAAAAGAACTAACAGTTTGGTACCTGCTGTGTGTCATTCACTAGGCTGTATGCCATATACAGATTACTTCATGTAATTTTTACAGCAACCTTGTGAAGAAGGTATTCCAATTTTACAGATAAAGAAACTGAGGCCCAAAGGAATCTGTCATGAAGTAAATATGTGCACATGAAATTCTTTTTTCTCCTAGAATATCTGTTCTCTTCCTATTGCTTAATCAAATCACACCCAACCTTCGAGAACCAAATTAAGACTGTTGAAAGTTCATTCTCCATGGGCGTCTTGTGTTTCTGTCCATCTTCTGAGTAAAGGCACTGACAGCCTTTGGTCTGGGCTATTTTTTCAAGGATGTTTGTAGAGCATACACCCTTGAACAAAGAGATAGTAACTCCCTCTGGGAGAGGACAGATTTGTTTTCTGACCAGGTTAATAAGGATAGTATCTCCTTCCAGGGCAAAGACTGGTCAGGTTTGCTAACGGCCCCTTTAAGAAGTTTGGGGTTTCCTTACCTCGGGGTTCCTCAGCTGTGATACAGACCCATGGAGTGTGCAGCTGTGATACAGACCCATGGAGTGTGCAGTGCCACTCTGGACCACTCTGTCAGCCCTACGGGATTTGGAGGACCCGTTCACCAAGGTGAACACCAAGTTCCTATGTTTTGCTATACTGTGAGGAAGAAAGTCCATTGTCTCTGACCTAGGAATTTTGTGTCCTCTTCAAGTACCTATGAAAATGTAATAGGCTAACTTTCAGCTTGCAAATAGGGTAAAACTTTAGCCTTTTTACAGGTCTTGACAAAGACCTTCTTCCTTTGGGAAGCCTTTTCTAAGCATTCCAGCTTCTAGTGAGATCTCTAAGACACGTTTTGCAGGAAACCCAACCTGCTGAGTAATGTATTTATGAACATTTTTATTGCCTCACACTTGATTATTCTCTCTTAGAGGACAGAAACAGCCATTTATACCTCTTGGTAAGTATTTAGCATTTTTTTTGAATATAGAAATTGGCTCTTGTTTCATTAATTGTAATTTGTTAAAATGTATTGAATGTCTATTAAGTGTAGGACATTATGGTCAGAATGTTTAGGTAATTATTTCCCTAACTGGTGCGTAAGTGCCTTGAAGATGGTCATAATATCTCATAGTTCTTTATCCATTATAATTCCTTCTGTCTCTCATTCTCATTCAACAAATATTTATGGACTGTCTGCTATTGCAGGTGGTATGTTAGTTGCTGAGTATACAAATGAATAAGAGAAGTCTGTCCACAATGAACTCGTGGAAACACATACATGCAGTACAAGAAGGAAATCCAGTGACAGGAAAAAAGCATAGATCATTATGGGAACATGGAAAAGGGCCACTCAACAGGACTTTTCATTTTGGGGGGGCAGTTGCTTTTCCTCTTCTGGGTATTTTCAGCAGCACATAGTGCTTAGTAGATACTGAAACAAAGTGGTTTCTTTCTTTTTTTTCCACACTGTAGAGCCCCCTTCAGTGCTCACAGCCCACCAGTGAAGAGTGTGGGCAATGGTTCTGGGCTGCACACTCCTCTGGCATGGGTGTACTAGGAGAGGTCCACAGAGAAGGATCTTCCATCAATGCATCACCATTTGCTGAAACAAAGTGTGGATGTGGGGACTGATAATCCAACTAGAAATCTTGGTCAAATCCCTGTTCTGAAACTTGTGTATATACTCCAAAATAGCCCGTCTAAGATTGGCTGGCCTATATTAAAAAGGATTGCCAGCAGGCTCAGGCTCTAGTTCTACCTATTTAAAAAGATATATGCAACAAGTGTGTTTAAGTAAATGAACCTATATCTAACACCTAGAATATTACTAGGGACTAGAAGATGCACAAGACATGTTCCTTGCCCTCGAGATGTTCATAATTAAGTGAGACAGACACAGAGAACCATCATCTAAAACTGTGCAGGAGAGCATAAGCTTTGAATAGAAACTAGGGGTTATTATCAACAAGCTGTGGGAACTTATTCCACTGGCGACCAAGAGAATTTCTTGCAAAGGGATGGCATCTGAGTTGGTGTTTAAAGGCTGAAAAGAATTTCCCCAGGCAGAAAACAGAGAGTAAGGCAGCCTAGGAAAAAGCTCAAGCAAATGCACATTCTTTAAAAGTAAATAAACAAATGAATTAAATAATTAATAAAAGGAGAGTTCAGGGAATGGTCAGTAGGACAGCAACTGGAATGTAGGGTGTGCACACAACTGAAGGTCAGAAAGGAAGTTCCATTCAGCGCCTTCCACGAATATTTATTAAGCACCTGCTGGGGCAAATATAGTATGCTTAAAAAGAGATAAAGGTAAAGACCTAGCTCACAACCTAATGAGGAGATCGTTTAATCTAAAATAGTAAATGCCAACAAAGCACTAAACAGGGAGGATCTTGAATGTCACCCTAAGTCACTTGGGTGTTATTCCTTAGGAAGAGAATGCAGTGAATGATTTTTATCTGACCTGGGAGGAGGAGGAGGTTAAGTCTTGGCAACTGTGTGAAGGAAGGTTCAGAGGGGCGATAGATGGAGTCACGGAGAACAGTATGGAAGCTTGTGTAATCATCCAGGGGAAAAACACAAAGGGTCTATATCAGATGAAGATGAAAGAGCAAAGATAGAAGACTCGTGAGGACAGAACTTGACGAATAGGTGTTTATGAAGATGAGTCCAAGCCTTCTCTTCTGGGAGAAGGAGAGGATGATGCTGGTAATAATAGAGAACACTCATCAGAAAAAAATATCCAGAACTGATAAGATCTCAAAGGTAAAATAACCGATCTCCATCATATCTTTTTTCATTTAACTTTTTACTTGATCATAATTTTAGACGCAGTATCACATATTTTTTAAGCAGTAAAAGTAAACACCGAGGACTTTTTAGGAGACACATCTTACCAGGGTTTTTGAAGCTTCAGGAACATTAGTGGATCATGAAGTCAATTTAAAATGGTATGAAATAATACCAAAAAAAAGTGAAATAGAATAAAGCAGAACAGGACAGAAAATACAGTGATCACATAGAAAGATTATTATTTCGTGGAACTTTGACTTCTGTTTTATGTACACAGACTAGGTTGCAATATCAAGTACATGTCTTAGTGCGAGTTGCAGTTTAAAAAAGTTTGAAAGCCGCTGATCCAGACAGTGTCCAACAAGCCATCTCTCTCAACCCTCCTTCCTCCAGTTTACAGGATTTGAGTATTGGCATATAGGGGCTTGAGGCATCTTTTGTCCCTTTGACAATGAATGACAATCCAATTATGTAAAACAATGGTGCTAGTATTTTGTTTGGAGCCACTGGCCTCCACCATTTTTATAGAAAGCCAGAAGCACCCTCTACATTACTGTCTGTAGCCCCTTTGGCATCATGGGGAATGCTCAGGATTACCCATATCTGGTCCACCTGCAGATCAAATCAGAAACAGGGAGAGAACACATTATTTTGTTTTCTTTTCTTGAGATTTCAAATAAACCTTTGCTAAATATTTTAAGACAATAGAATTAAAAATATAAATTGTGAATCCTCATAGATTTCATTTTTCCACTAGATGGCAGAAAAAGCACTTGTAATGGACATTACATTATCATCTACTTAATCAGTTCTGCAGACTTTTTTAATAAAGGGAGGTATATTTCAGTTTAAACAGTAGAATATAATTATAAGACATTTGATTATTTTTTAACTAATTTAATCATATTAAGCTTAAAATTAAAGAGAAACTTTAAATTAGTTTGTGTTTATGTATGTACATATATGCCCACATGTCTCAATTCAGACGTTCATGGTAGAATTTTATTGGCCTTGGAATACTGCCATGCTTTCTTTTAATACAAATTTAAAAATAAAAGGTAATATTTAGAAACAATCTTAAATTAATACAGAAACATTTTTCATGTTACACATGGGCATAATTAGATGTACAGTTGAGATATACTTAATTACGATATATTGCAAATAATGATAATGATACAAGTAAAAACACTGATGATACATCCATGGTTATGAACCCCAAATACATTTTTTATAAAGAGAATAAAAGCTATGTGAGCTAAGGAAATATAACAGTTAAACAGGGTGTGTCCTTTTCTTTCTGTGTTAATAATCCTAATACGACTTTTTTTTTTTTTTTACCTGAATTGATATCAGGTGGCCATTTATCAACAATAAGTCTTCGGGGGCATTTGTAATTAGAACACTTTACTATGCACTTGCGAAGAGTTTCACAGACCCTTGCTCTGGTATGCTTATCGTCAAAGAGAAAATTATTTTATGGATCGGCAAAAAGCAAAATGGTTAATAGGTGAGTTATACCAAAGAAAATGTTTTAGGGAACACAGACAATTTGATAAAGTACTATCAAACTATCAAACTATCAGATAAAAACCAGTTCAAAGAGGCTAAGTATTTGGCCCCGATTTCAGTCACTACTTTTGCTACTGTTTATCTTACAACTGGCCTTGGGAAAGAGGAGAAAAAAGAAAGGATCGAAAAGAGGAGGTGATGAAAAGAGTCAAGTCCAATCATTCATGCAGCTCAGGGACTTCTGCCAAGGGCATGTTCTGGGTCAGGCCCTACGTGGGAATTGGGATGTGGCTTCTTCAATCAAAATGAGAGCAAAGGACAGAGAGGAGGGGAGATGTTGGGGGGGCCAACAGGAAGAAGCACAAGAATGGCTAAGATTATGTAATAATTGCCACAGTGGCATTGCCTTACCCCGGCTCTCTCCTCCCCCACCTCTGCTGACCACCTCTTCCTCAACAAAACAAAAACAAAAGGGAACCCCAGGAACATTCCGGCTAGGCCCACAGTCCTCAGGAATCTAGGGAGGGGCGGAGGTGGGAGCCCCAGTGGGCCCCAGGCAGCATGCTATCTGTGCGACCAGTCCCAGAATCTCGAGCTGAGAAACCCCGTGCTGTGTGCGACAAAGATGCCTGATCTTGTTTTGAGTCAAGGGGGATAAACGACTTTTCTGGGAATAAGCAACTCACAAGGTGCCGTAAGCTGGTTTCTAAGACAATGGAATATCAGAGTAAAGGATCTCCCCTGCAATATTGCCTGGAAGGCTATTTTTATGTCAGTTTCTTCGTAAAGGCAACTGTGGGTTAAAAGCAAATAAAATAAGTTTAAAAATAAAAGGAAATATGATTGGGGTATTTTTTTTAAATCAAGAAACCTTACATAAGATTTTCAGGAAACTTGGGGCGTCTGGGTGACTTGCTCAGTCGGTTAAGCATCTGCCTTCGGCTCAGGTCATGATCCCAGGGTCCTGGGATCAAGTCCCATGTTGTCGGGCTCCCTGCTCAACCAGGAGCCTGCTTCTCCCTCTCCCTCTGCCTGCTGTTCCCCCTGCTTGTGTTCCCTCTCTGTCAAATAAATAAATAAAATCCTAAAAAATGTCCTTAAAAAAAAATATTTGCAGGAGCTTTCCCTTACAAAACCAAACTTTAAGAAAGTCCCACTGGCCCTAATCCTGGCACCGTGGGTCCTGCTGCCTGCTAATTTCGGTGGCCTGGATCCTGCTGCCTGCTAAATTCGGGGGCCTAGTCAGTTGCTTCGCGCTTCTGGGTCCCATTTCTTAAATCACGTATCACAGAGAGGGAGCTAGACTCCCAGCTCTAACATTCTCTACATGAGAAGAATAAAAATTGTAACAGCCCACTGTTTAATTGAAATGAACTGAAAAGAACTCCAAGTCCGAGGTCTCAATATTAATCTCCTACCCCAATTTTTTAGGTCTTTAGCTCCCCTCATGCTCTCCAATTAAAGAAATAGAAATCCGAGTTTTCTCTCTATACTCTCTTGTGTTCTGCCCTTCCCAATGGTATCACTGCAAATGTCTTTATAAATCTACAAGCTGAGCTATAGAATAACTCCTTTAGGCTGTATGAATGGCTCTCTTTTGCCCACCCAGCTCTGAGGAGACTCTGCCCCTCAAAACGTTGAGTGTTTTTTGTTTTCCTGCTAAAACCAGGAAGAATGTGTAGCGAGAGCCCTCGGAACAGACAACCCTGTAGATCTCCACTCAGCACATCTCTAATGGGCTCAGCACAGTGACAGCTGTGACGAATACCATGGCAATTTCCCAGATAAGATTGTATCCGAGTAGGGGCTACATTTCCTTCAGAGTCGCAGAGGCCATTATTATTCTTTGGAGAGGAATTCTGAGGAGGAAATAGCTGATTTAAATGCCGGCTGTCAGTTGCCAAAGAAATTGTTACAAAATACTGCTATAATGATGTGGAAAACTGCCCATTGCTTTGGATCCCACGTTTTCTTGTGCTCCTTCCATTCATCATTCAAGATTTTCCTTCTAGCCAACCAGGTACATCAAGACTTGTGTGCTCTAAAACCTCATAACTTGGAGTCTCAGGTTGGGATTCTTTGGCATTTCACATTATGGTTGTTTGATCATTTCTTGTTACCCCTTAACCTCTCACAAGGTCTTCTAAGAAACTGTGTAGCCTAGAAATACCAACCCAACTAGTCTCTATATTTCACTCATTCAACCAGTACTTACTGAGTGCCCATTATTTTTCCACACAGGAGAAGGCAGCATAGAGTAGTTGTCTCACGTAGGGTTTCTGGAGTCGAATTGCCTAGA